TAATGACGAAGAACTTGTTTTAAAATATATCAAAGACGAAGCATATCGAGATGAAAATACTACATTTGGTAAGGAATTATAAGCCAAATAAAATAAAAACATCTGCGCTGAAGATAAGGATAGTGCTGAGAAATCAACTTCCAATTCATTACGCGCCCGCCGCCGAGCAGCGTGAAATTGATAAACAGATTTCGGATTTCAAAACATACTTTCGCTTTAGATCCTTTACATATTAACAAATATATATCGGAAATTCTATTTGATATAATCGAAAGTTTAAGCTTACTTTTATAAATTTGCTCTTACAGTCTGCAAAAAATAATAAGCCGGATGCAATTTGAAAATTAAGGAACAACGCAATCATCAACATTAGCTGAAATAGATAATTATTTAGCTTATACATCCATTATACATAAAATGCGGGCGCGAAAACGTATTCTGCACTTGCGCACACTCATATGCGCAGTCGTAAAAGGTCTTACGCGCACGCGTGAACGCCTCTGCGCATGTGTCAACGCGGCGCATGCGCAGAAAGTTTTTAGTTTTGATGTCCGGATTATAGATCATTCCGAATTATGGGTGTCTGAATTAACAACTTTTGACTGTATATGTTTCAACCTTTATTCTTATTCCGTTGTTACTGAACATCAAGTTGATTAGTGAGTTTGGTTTGGTGTATGTGAGCATGGCAAAACCTCAAGGGCTATCTGCCTAGGGAGAGGGATGCCTTTGTGGAAGACATTCTAAGAAAAACTGGCTCATATATATGTTACACATGGGAAAACCCATGAAAATCTCCATACAACAAGCCCATTTGCGGGACTCGTACCTCAGACCAAAGTACCAGTGTTTAGTGATTACCTATTTTAAGGTAATATGGTTGTTAATAGATATAATTCACTATAATTATTTTCTGAAGGGTAATGGAATTAATTTAATCTAATGCCAATTAGAAAACGGCTATTTACAATAGGAAGATTTAAAAGCACTATAACTCTAAGAGCACTGTAATTTTTCTTTCACAATCAGCTGTTATGTAAGATTTCATATTATATAACTGATATCCATACGTCATGAACAAATATACAGTAAATGCAAGACAAATTATTAAAAAATTACAATTTGAAACTTTAATACTAAATAATGAATTTATATAATATGTATACTTAGAATCTAAATACGATGAACTTTGAATCTGATGACTCTATAAATTAATATTTATGTAGTTACAAAATTTTATTAGATGTTATTTATATGCATAGTTCTTTGTAATCTTCACAATCTCTAATAAAATGCTACATATTTATTACTATAGTTTGAGATGATTGTACTTAAATTTGTAGATATGTTGACTTCTAAGAGTTGTTCCATCCCTTCCCACAAAATAAATAAAATTAAAATCACTATTCCAAATTGCTGTAGTTGAAATATTAAGAGGTTACATTTGGAATTCATTTTCTGACAGGGTGTCAGCTGACAGTTTTAATTTATTCAGAAATCTAAAAGAAAATATCTCTAGAAAATCGCCAAATTATAATTGTTACATTCAAAAAAGCTTTCAATGAGAAATATGTTTAAACTTTGATAATAAGCTCAGTCTAAAGTAAAGAATAAATTATCTCTTTGCCAAGTTTTCATTGTGCTTAACTGTTTTAATATTCCTAAACTAAAAAGGAACGAAAGGAAAAATTAAAAAGAAATAAAATAAAATTCATGAGTGTTTTTAATTAAAAAGTTAATAGTTTTAATAATGAAACATAATTATATTTAATCTAAGCCACATTACCTTAAAAATAGCATGTGAGAAACTAGACAATGATATTTTTAATTTTCATGTACACATAGTTAAATAAGTAAATAAATAAATAAAATGCAATTTCAGATTTATCATTGAAACGTTATAGCCAATCACTTAATCAGAGAGTAGAAAGTTTGCTTTCATCCTAATAAATTAAACAAATAAAGTAGTTATAAAATATACAAACAGACATATATCTAAGACATTAAAATTCAGATTTGAATACTCCATTTATTATTCCATTTAGTAATAAAAAACCATAAGTCCCTTTTGATTATGTGCGCTTTTATCAGTGTGGGATTTCATCAGCATGCGCTTATATCTATGTGGGCTTTTATCAATGTGTGCTTTCATCGCTGTGGGTATTTGTCGCATGGGCAGTTATCATAGTGGGCTTTTGTCGTGTCTGCTTTTGTCTAGAAACCCCCGATTTTGTATTATTGCATGAGTTGTGAACATTTTAATTGTCACTTACTTATACAAATCAAAAATATTTTTCAAAATAAGATATGAAGGCTATTCAGAAAGTAAGAAACGTTTCCGTTTGACGGCGCTAGGCGCGCTCCAGTCACGTATATTTTGGTGTCTGTGTGCTCGACATCTCAATGGGAACATTTCCGCGCTGCCCAATTTTTCGATATTCAAATTTAAAATGTGCACTGCAATTGAAAATCCCACCAGTTGTGAGGTGCAGTCTGCGATACGGTTTTTATTGGCAAAAAACCTAAAACCTATGGAAATTTATGGCAAGTGTGTGAAGTGTATGGAAACAACGTAATGAATGAAAGTTCAATCCCGAAATGGTGCATTCAGTTTAAAAATGGCTGAACTAACGTTCACGATGAAGAGAAGAGTGGACGCCCTAGCATTGTGACTGACGAACTGGTCGCTAAAGTTGATGAAAAGATTCGTGAAAAGTGCCGTTTCACAATAACAGAGCTTTCGTCTAGTTTTCCACAAGTTTCATGGACTTTGTTGTTTGAAATTGTCACACAAAAGCTAGGCTACTGCAAATTTTGTGCAAGATGGGTGACGAAATTGCTTACAGACTACCATAAAGGTCAGCGAATGGGGACAGCTTTGACATTTCTGTGGCTTATGACAGACATGGTGATTCATTACTGAATCGAATCGTAAATGGTGACGAGACGTGGGTGAGACACATGAATTGCGAGACAAAAATTACAGTCCATGCAGTGGGGGCGCACAAGTTCCCCCAAAAGACCAAGAAAATGTTTGCAAACCTTGATGCCAAAGAAGATTATGGCGACTGTGTTTTGGGATAGGCAAGGTGTGCTTCTGATTGATTTTCTCAAACGTGGTACCACAATAAACTCTGAGTGGCACTGTCGAACATAGCACAACCTTAGGAGAGCAGTTCAAAACAAGCGCCGAGGAAAGTTGACATCCAAAATTTTGTTTTTGCACGACAGTGCCCGACCTCACACGGCAAACCGCACTCAAGAACTCCTTAATTCATTCAAATGGGAGGTTTTTCCTCATTCGCCCTATAGTCCCGATCTTGCACCTAGTGATTTTCACTTGTTTCAAAGAATGAAGAACTGGCTAGCAACACAGCGCTTTGACGACGACAAGGTGCTGCAGGTACGCATCACTGAGTGGCTGAGATCGCAGGCGGCAGAATTCTATGACGAAAGAATTTCAAAGCTTGTTCACCGCTATGATAAGTGCCTCAATTTGTTTGGTGACTATGTAGAAAAGTAGAATTTTGGTCACTCTTTCTGATGCATGTAATATTTTTTTTTTTTCTTGTACTTAGTTTCTTTTTAATTCCAAAACGTTCCTTACTTTCTGAATATCCCTCATAGAAATAATATGTAAAATTTTTTTTGTACTTGACAATTCTGTTTTTTAATTCATTCATGTCAAACATCACCATGATTATATCTTAATGTGTTTCAAATAATGAACTTTGATAATGTAAATAAGTGCATATGTATTTGACCAAGGAAATTTTATTTTATGACTACAAATATTCCTGCTTGGGTTATCTTAGACATTTAGAGAGCGAGTCAATATGTGGGTATGATAAATAGAAATAAAATTGAAAAGGTAATGTAACACGCTCGTTCTGAAAGAAATTTAGTATTCTTACCAATGGTTGAGGGATATTAGCTTTTTCTATATTATACATGTTTTTCACTATGCATAATATCAATACAAAAGCTATCTTTAGAAATCTTCCACAAAATAACTTTCAGTATGAAATAAAATATATAAGTAATATTGGATAAGACAGAGCTGATTATAATAAAAGCCCTGAATGCAGTGCCATAATTAATTATCTAATTATTTAATTGCATTTTAAACTCAACCAAAGGAATAATTTCTTGGCAAATGAAATATCCGCTATGAAGGGTTCACTCCCAAAAAATACAAAAATCACTTCAAGTTTAAGAACTCTGAAGAGATTTCCAGTTATAAGTTGTATATGTGCTATTTACAGTACCCATCACTCATTAAAATCATTTCCATTCCAAAGTATTTTAATTTATTAAGCAGCTGAATTTAATACATGCAATTTGTATATCACAAACCATGGTATCAGTTTTACAGTTTTCAAGTAAAATAATAATTAAAAACTAATACTAAACTATTTATGCAATTTTTAAAAGTTTTACAAAAGTATTTTTATAATTACATTCCTAGTGAAATTTTGTCTCTTACAAAAAACTATTCCTACTACTAACAAAAGATACAAATGGATCGGACTTTTTATTAAGGATGATAATACTCATCCATAACAAGAAACCTTAATGATGAATTACTTGAAAGTGAAGATATTGAATGAATACCATGGCCAGCAAAATCTTCTGACTTTAATCCAACAAAGAATTTATGAGACTAGCTGGGGAAAGCAGTGCAATGGAGGCATCCTCTTCCTACAAGTGTAAATGCTTTGAAGACCACACTGGTGGATGAATGGATCTCAGTTTCCCAAACTGTGATTAAGTGTTATTGTGAACATGAAAACACATTGATATGTGTGTAGAAGTCGGGGAAAATCACATTCCATATTAAATTCTTACCTTAATTTTTACCCTCCATTTAAAATTCCTCACAGATTTAACTGCAGCAAATTTTATTATTTTAACATTACTAATCAAGAAAGTTATTTTCTCTCATAGAAATATGATACACTAATCAAGAAAGTTATTTTCTCTCATAGAAATATGATACATGGATTCAGAAACAAATTTAATGATTCATCTAAAATTTAGTTTAATGTAATAATGTTATATTACAATGCACTTGGAACAGACTATTTTTTTCATTTATTATTATACTAATTAGTAGTCATCAGAAATGCCTGCAAACTGCCGACGCCTTACAGGAAAATCACTGTCTCTTTCAATACTTTCTCTTGGTCTGAACTGTTGGTCTGGAAAACGATTCCTTGGTCGAACTAAAAAGAAAGCAAAGAAAAAAATAACAGTAAAACTTCAATGTTTTTAAAAATATTTTCAAGTGAATAAATGATAATCTGTTTAATTATTATTTCAAGTGGAAACACTTTTATATATATAAGGCAAATAAGTTATAAATCTTTGATTTAGTAGTTTTACAAATTCCAAACTGACTTTCATTCTCTTAATCTGAATTTTAGAGAAACATTTAATGAAATATTTCAAAAAGTTACTTACAAGCAAAGCCATCATCTCTTAAAAATTGTCGAGGTTCAATTGGTAGACACACAAGATCGTCAATTGTCTGACTTGTCACCAAATTACTCTCTTTTAATGATCTGCACAGTTGTTCAAATATATGGCTAGTCTCTTTGTCATTTAATTTATCAACTGACTGTTGCAATGCATCCAACTAAATAAATGAAAACCAGAATTTGAAATAACTTTTAAAAATGGAAATGTATCTTTATTAGTTATACAGTAGAAGACCAGAAATCTGCAATGCTGTGAAATTTTAGGATTTTGTGCATTTCAGGACAGAAAAAGTAAATAATATTTAGACAAAAAGTGAAAAATAAATAAGGACATATACAATAAAGACATATCAAAATAAATTACACTAACAGAGCATAAAATATTCATTTTTTTAATGTTTCAAACATTTTTAGAGGTCTGTTTTAAAACTTTAGGGTGAGTCATAATCACTTTCTCTCTGACACAGCTGTTCTGCTCTATAAATTTTAGGCAGTTTTCACCATGTTTCAAACTTTCATTATAAGATTTGTTTCACTCCTATCAAATTCACTATCTGTATCGGAATCATTTTCCACAGAAACAGAACCAATAATTTCATCATCAGCTATCCGATATCACACCTCTCCTTAAATCTATTAGCCAATCACTGCTGAAATGGCAAGCTATTAGTAAATCAGGAAATTTGTCAATAAATTCCTCTGCAGCATATTTTATTTGATCTAAAAAAGTACAGATAAAACAGCAGATTGGCAGCACTAAACACTCTCATAAAGACAGGAAAGCTGAGGAAATATAACCACATGAGTTGTGAGCTTGAAGTAGAAGTGCTTCTTTACATTGATGCAGATTGGAAGAAAAATCTTACCATGACGCCAATGATTTGGTAAGTAATTCTGTTTAGACGTCATTATTTGGCAAGTATTTCTCTTCAGTATTTCATATTGCATGTTGCAATTCTGAACCGTTAAACTAAATGCTTAAATTTTGAGAGGTAGTGCCAATTTTTGGTATTTGACTATATTTTGATAGAAGCAAAAAATTTTAGCACCTTCTACTACAATATATTAAAGCAAAAACTATCTTGCATCAAGCTAATTTTGTATTTCATATGCATAATGAACAATTTTCTATACTCTTACTTTTTTACTCTGATTTCTAGAACAAATACTAGACAAGGTTTACCTAAAATATACGTTTTCTACAACTCTGTTTTACTTTCACTATTTAGAATGTTGAAGTTTAACTAACTAAATGAAATTGTCTTAGTGTTGAACGAAACAATCTATTGGTGAAAGATCCTCAAAGTACATAAAGCGTTATAAACTCTCATGTAACCAATTAATTTTCAGTATTATTTCTTATTCATAAAATTAAACTTCAAAAGTGTTTCTATGATTTTAACAACTCTATTTACTTTTAATATTTAGAATTCTGAAGTTAATATCTAATTAAACAGCCTTTATGTTGGAAATGAGACGGTTCTATACTTCCCGTTCTACTGGGATGATTGACGAAATTCAAATTGCATTTTTAATGTCTCGAAAGCGCAACTTAGGATATGTACTGTACTTATATATAGCACTGTTCTAATACAGGTAGCTTGACCCAAAATCGGACTTTTCTGAAATGAGATGCCAATTTTTCCAAATTTCAATTCTTCGACTCAAATTACGCCAAACTGCCAAGTTTTGTAAAAATCGCAAGAGTAATTTTTAAAAAATTAATAACCTATAAAAATTTTACCACCATCTTAAAGTAGATGTGCAAAAAATTAGTTTTTTATTTAAAATTTCCTAAGGTATACATGAATTTACATATTGGCATGTTTTGAAATTTGGCATATTCATTATAAGAGATAATAACGCCAAATGTGGTTTACAAACTTTGTTAAAATTATTTGAAAGAATAAAAGATGACCTTTTTTCCGCTCATGTGCAATGAAAAAAAGGTAAGGAAAATGGGTATAATGTGTCAAGATAATTTCCTAAAATTATGAAGTTTTGTCAAGTGAATTATTCTTGGTGCAAACTGAAAAAAATGTGTCAAGATAAATTTCTGAATTTCTCCGTAAATTTCAAACCAAATTTTACAAAATTTAATATTTAGACATAATTTGAGTCATAGAATTAAAGAATTGAGTCATAGAAGAAATATCTGTATTAGAGCAATGGTATTTTTAAAATCTAATGCATATCCTAAATCACACTTTCAAGATATGAAAAATACAACTGAAATTTTGTGAATCAGCCCAGCAGAATGAGACATATAGAACTGTCTCCCCCCTGCAGTGTACATTCACAGCATTTTTATTTTATTCTGCTTTAAGGGAAAATAAAAATGTTGATCCTGCAGGGCATGGATGCTGCTTCTGAATGTATATGGAAATAAAAACTCATTTACATCTTAAACTACATAAAAAAAAATAACTCACAGTGCTCTGGCAAATTTCTCCTCGAATTCTAGTCTGAACAGGAGAATCTTGATCTGTAACCCGACGCAAAATGTCAAAAGCATCATTTATTCGGTCTAACCCTGCTAATGCCATCAACTACAAATAAAAATTAAAATCTTGTTAATTCACAAATATGGTTCATTCTGACACAAGAATTTAAAAACATGCCAGAACTATTATAATGCTAATTCCATCAATATCAAATAATAATTTAAAAAAAAAGTTCATAGGTTGGTACATTTTTTTAAAAAGTAATTATGCAAGTTAAATAATTCAATTTTGGACAATGTGTAAGTACTTTATTTAAAAACAACATATATATATATTGATGAAGGTTAAAAAAAAACTAACTAGAAATGACTCAAATGAAAAAATATAGTCAATATTTAAATTCTTTTAGTTAGACACTTATTCCCACTAAAAGTATAAAACACAAACATACTTTTCTACCTGTCATATTAACATGGACTATACAGTATGCTAAATTTTCTTAATTTAATGAAAAACAGAAAGGAGAATAAACCAGCAGCAAACCAATAAACACCACAATAATAACAGACACATTTGTGCAAAAAAAATTAAATTACTTTTATTGAATGCATATAGAAAAAAGAATTTTTAACAAATTAGGGTTTGGATAAAATTAAGGTACCTTAATCACTTACATCTGGTTATAATGAAAATTTTTCGCCAAAGAAACATTCTTAATAAAGTTAGAACACATAAAAACAGTACATGTAGTAATCACCACCCAAATCTATGATTTTCTGCTAACATTTTAGTAGTTTCTCAAAGCCCTTTGCCCAGGAACTTTGGTGGCCAAATACAGATAAACCTCATTTCGGATGTCCTGTGCAGAGTGGAAGATAGCATCAGCAAGAATGTAGCTGCAGGTGTGAGTATGGCAAAAGATACCACCTGCTTCTTAAATGTCACAGCCCTTGTTTTTGAACTTTCAGTACCAAACCTTCACAGTGTCATGATATACAACATTAGTACCTAAAGCTGTACACGATTTGGTGACATTCTGTAGCTGACTTTTTGCAACAGAACGTGAAATAAATGATGGTTCTTATCTACTATGATAGTTCGATTTCAGACACCTTGTACTTAATGATAAGAATATTTTTTTACAAATTTCACAACACTAAAGGAAGTCTCTTTCTTTCAAATGCCAAAAATCGTTTGACAAAATATGATTTCACACCAATGCGAACAGTTTGCACAAGCAATATTTGCAGTAGTGGAAAACTTTTGCTAAAACCCAATATTTAGATTTTTATGATAAAAATTTTTTTAATTTGATTAGTAAATTTTTCACAATGTGAAAAATATTTGAAAAGCATACAACTGTGATGAAAATTTCCATTTTCTTCCTTGGAACTATGCTGAGAAGAAGGTAAACTATATAATCCCACAGTAGAAACCACCTGATGTGTGGTGAAGACTGTGTGTCTTTCCGATGTGCCATATCGACGCAGCCAACACCCGTAAATCATTCCAAAGTGGTGTGGCATACCTGCTAACCTCTAAAGATAAAAATTCAGAAGTTTTCTTCCCAAATTCAGAAGATTTCTCCAAAATTCAAAAGAACACGAATTAATATCATGCTTTGATATTAAAAAGATAACAATTTATAGAAATAGAAAAAAGAAAATTGTACTTACATTAGTAAATCTCAATTAAGTAGTAACTAAAAAATTTATTAGGAAACATAAAACAAGAACTTAATTACTAATTCAGAAGTCAAACAGCAAAAATCAGCGTTATACCTACAAAATTTTTTGTTGTTTGACTTCTGAATTAGTATTTATTCGGCGTGTTATTGTGTCTTAAGAACTTAATGTTACACAAAAAAATTATTGCAATGAATTTGGAGTGCATTTTTTGGCTTTAGCCAAAAATTCTTTGGAAAATTTCCTGTCATAACAATTAGTTTCCTCATAACATTTAGCAATTAAAATGTTTTCTAGAGTTTTTTGGTGAAATTGAAGAATGAAACATAGTTTTGTTTTTCTTCACAACACTGAAGACTCCTCGCACTCAGCATTACTGTGTGGAATTACGAGAATAGCACATAAAACTCTTGCTGGTCTATCATATTTTGGTGTTCCATCAGCTCTTTTTATTCTTTTTAAGGTACCAATGAGGACATCAAGTCTATCTTCTCCAGAACTGGCAAAGTCTTCAAACTGTGCAGCAGAAAATTGGTTCTGTAGTTCATCTAAAGCATCATTATGGCATTCATTTTCTTTAATTGTTAACAAAAATGGAAATTTATCAATAAAAAATCTGATATGTACACCACATGACTTCCTTGTACAGAATATTAAATTTTTCGCATTTTTTCTTGCATTTTATTTAAACTTATTAGATTGAATTAAACCTACTTTGCCGACAGCACATAAACCACAATAGAATAAATGCATTCTTTAAAATTCACTTTCACCTAGCGACACTCTGGCGCTAGGTTTACTTAACAGTATTATATTTCATTCATATTATAACTCGGAATGCACAAAATGTATATCATTTAAAGAATTATCTAATCGTTGCCACATGTTCTATTCAAATACTATAATAAAGCTAGAACTATGTATAAAAGAAATTAAGCAAACAAAGCAAAAAAGAAACAGTTTTTCACAGAGGTTTGAGTATTTCTCATTTAATTAATTCAGTTCTCACTTCGCGAGAAGGCAAAAATACATAAAAACTCAAAATATCTATATTAAAAATTACGAAGTAAATCTCAAATGCTTATTTCCTCGAAAAAATTCCAGAAAGGATTAAAACATGATTTAATTGGCAATAATAAATGAATGCGTTATCTCTTTGTTGTTGCGAAGCTAAGTTTCTCTAGATTGGCAATGGCACAATCCACTAGTCTCCTGTTTCAAATGTAAACATCAATGGCCGCCATTAAAAACAGGCTTAGAGGCAATTAAACAACTTTAAAATTGCTGATAATTCTAAAAATATCGCACACAGATTTACTAAAGGCATAAAATCCTTAACCGGAAGTTAAAAACAACATAATTCAATCATTTTTAAAGCAAAAAATGTACAATTTACAAACATATTGGAGTAAAGAAACAGATCACTGAGCCGGGAAATAGAGTGGATATATTTATATACGTTTGGTGCGGCCGATTGCAACCAAAACACAAGGTGCACATCTACATGTTATAGCAGTCCTATATACAAAATTTCAACGTTCTGAGGCTACCCGATTTTGAGTTATGCGAGATACGTACGTACGTACATGCGTTCGTACAGACGCCACGAAAAATTCTCTTCAGAATTAATTTTAAAGCAGTTTTATAATTTTTTTGAAGGAAGAGAGTATTTTATTCTGTCCTTACGTACAGATATCACGCAAAAACATAGTTAAATTGCATTCGATAGCGGTCAAAATGGATATTTTCGTTGAAATATGCTGCCTGAAACTTTTCGCAATTACAATACTTCCTTTTTACTTCGTACAAGGAAGTAAAAAACAAATCTTTTCAAAAGATGAATTTTCAATTTGTTTCAAATTTGCCACTTCAGCATTTAAAAGAACTTCATTTTGCAAAGGAAGCTTCCTTACAATGTAATCATAGGCTGAGGAAAAGTACTTTCTAACACATTGAAAAAATTCTTTTGTCGACGTTGTCGAAGCCGAAGCTTTAACTTCATGCTCTTTAGACTTAATATACTTCACAATGTCACAATGTTGCAGGATTCCTTAATTGTTGGAAATTCGGCTTTGTAGGCAGGCCGAAAATATTGAGAATACGGTTTTTTTAACTCATTTCGTAACAACGAGGTATTAAGAAAATTCGTAGCACGTGCAAACAACAACAAAAAAAAAAAAAAAAAAAAAAAAAAAAAAAAAAAAAAACCATGATCGCTGAGTTTGAAAAACCCTTGCTTCTGAAGCGAACGCGGAAAAAATAATCTGGCGTCCACAAAGAAAAAAGTGGGAGAAACAATTTCAGGGCATTGGATTGGCTGGTTAAGCGGCGAGTTGGGAGAAACCGCAGGTTCACTGGAGTCGAAGTAGTCGGTAGCTGGCGGTAAAACACGATGCAATTGGCGAAAAAATTCTAAAATTCCGACAAAAATCACTAAAAACACTTGAAAAAGGAAAAAAATCGTAAAAAATGGATTACGATCATAAAATCGTAAAGACAAACGCATTTTCGTAAAAATTACGAAAAATTCGTAAAAGTTGGCAGGTATGGGTGTGGTGATTTCAAGGCATGGAAACCTGCTGTGGAATATATCCATGGAAGACTACATTCTAACAGGAATTCAGCACAGCATCCCAGATAATTTAATGCATAACCAAATACCTGCCAGACTAAATGCATTGTCAAGTAGACTGAACTCGTATTGTACCAGTCAAGTACACTCATCTGTTATTCATCATATGGTTTCACCAACGTGCCATAACTTGGCATGTTATGTTCATCTATTTTGTTAAACTTACGGAAAGTGCCCATTAAATCTTATATTTTCAACTTTCAGCAAATGTACTCCTTTGGTAGGGAACCACATTTTTATACTACTGCGTATCACTCTCACAAACCTTCAAAAATTCAAAACAGCAAACTGAAAGTCGTACTTATTAATTAAACTTGCCGTATTTACTCGTGTAATAAGTCCCAGCCCCGTTTTGAAGCAGAAAAATTTGTCCAGCCTTGATTTTCTTTTCTGAGGAATATGCATTAATTATTCGAACGACAAAGTGTCTATCAGTTAGTTAGGGTTTAATTATGGATATGGTGTGCTCTAGGAATCCCAGAGTTACAAGTTTGTAAAGGAGTATTTTTAGACAGGCTCGATCGATATCCAAAAATACAGCTAGAGTGTAGATCTTCTTCTGTTAATCATCCGAGATAATTTCTTGAACTAGAGTTAGGATCTGTTATAGAAAAATTCTTGAAACTCTTCAGCAGTTTTTTTGAAATTTGCAGAGTATTATAAAAAGATGAAGATGACAGTGGAAACCTGTAGCTGACACTTCATTGAATCTTTCAATGGAACATACTTTTAGATTTCTCTCACCCTTCTGCACGATGAATGAGCCAATCTCATTACTTTCTCTGTGTAATAAGATTTCCTCCACATAATAGTCGCACCTAGACTTTGACAATGAAAAATTGGCAAAAAAAAAGTCCGACTATTACACAAGTAAACACTGTATTGAAAACTTAAAACAAACAAACAAAATAATAATAATAATAATATTTTTTTTAAATTTTAAACAAACTGTTTTTTCTGACACCAGTCGTTACGTTATTTTCTTCCTTCACATTCGTACGAGGTTCATATGGATTTGGAGTGAATAACGATGACACTTGATGAAGTATTGAAACACACTTTATTGGCTAGTATTGTCAGGACAGCTCCCAAAACACGTTTACAGTTACACTGGAACAATCAGCGACGCAGCCTTTAGGCTATCATGGTGAAGACAGCTTCACTGCAAAGCTCCAGAGTACAGCTCCCGATTCTGCTTGGTCATTCTCGGAACTCCACGTACTCTCGAGACTCTCCATGCTACAACTTGCGATGCACTCGACAACACACAGAGCATGGCTCCCGACTCTTCGGTTCAGTCGTTCCTGGAGTTCAACACGCTCTCTCGACAATGCACTAACCGCGATACACTAAGAGACTCCTTCGGTGAACTCAACGACCCACTCGGCACTCGCTGCCCGGCTGTCAACTCAATCGACTCCGCAGGGATTGACTCGCTAGACGAGACACCAACTCGGTACTAACTATCTCGTACTTTACGAGGCACTCTCACTCGCCCTCTCGACAAGGCACACACACCGACTGCGGACCATCAGGGTTTATATAGCTTTCGGCTTGTCAGGGTTGCCATTTAAACAGGAGAATGAAATTCCCTGACTTTTCCAGGTTTTCCAGGTGCGTTTCAAGAAAATTCCAGTCTATCCGCGTAATGTACGTTGGCTACGCTAAGAGGTAAATTATGATATTACTTGTATTGTGTGTAGCAAATTCACTTAATTATTCAATAAATCCCAGAGGACATTTATTCTTAATTATTCTTGGTATACTTTGTTTGATAATTTTGTTTACTTTTCCACTTAAGAAACTTAATAAAATTTAAGATATATACATTGGATAACAAATGTATGTTTTATTTAATTATTACTCATGATCATCACCAGTTCAACACGAGGCTAATCCGGGTCCTTATAAATCACAACGCAATGCTAAATAGTTAGGTTAGATTTTAGGTAAATTTAATTTGTATGACGTATGTTTCTTAAAAAGCACCTTAACACTGGAAAAACACAAATATATATAATAGTTGTTGTTTTCTCCATTGAAGATTGAGATTAGAATCTTCCAATCTGGAATAAAATAAGGCTTTTTTGCAGACATTCTGCAGCTAAACGAAACAAAGAAATCTATTTTAATAAATTGAGGTATTTTATACACTCACGTTTGTGAAAATTGCAACACCAAGAAGGAATCGTCATAATTGAATGCAATTTAATACACAGTTGAGTGGTAGTGGTACAAATAAATGATTAAATGTTCAAAGCAAACAAACAATAACAAGAGATCAGAATCAGTATTTTGTGTGGCCACCACGCGCCGCAATAAGTGCTGCTACACGACGTGGCATGGAGTCAAACAATGTTTGAATGTCTGACTGAGGAAGAGCATTCCATATCGTTTGTACGCGTACCCAAAGTTCGTCTGCAGACGCAACAGGACGAGGATCACGAGCAAGACGCCGACCAATGACATCCCACACATATTCAATTGGCGACATATCCGGGGAACACGCAGGCCAAGGAAGAAGCTGTACCTGCTGCGCTGCAAAGAAGGATTTAACAATCCAAGCAGTATGAGGGCGGGCATTGTCCTGTTGAAATACAGCGCCTGGCAAGCTTTGAAGGAAGGGAACAGCTTCGGGCTGTAGAACTTCACGGATATACCGGTTGCTGTACAGATTGCCCACAATTCGTAGCAATTGAGATCGTCTATGATATGCTATGGCGCCCCAGACCATAACTCCGGGTGTTCGTCCACTGTGGCGTTCGATAATGCACTCCGGAAGGTGGCGTTCACCGGCATAGCGTTTGACACGAATGCGGCCATCATGGTACCACAAATTAAGCGGGATTCGTCAGAAAACACGACATGCTGCCAATCAGCACGCCAGTCTCTATGCTGATTGGCCCATTGTAGCCGCAGGCGGCGATGGTCGTGCGTTAGGGGGATCCTGTATAAAGGAGTCCGTGCGCGCAGTCCACACTGCAGCAGACGTCTACGAATTGATGAAGCACACAATGAAACACCTGTAGCTATTGACCACAGTGCTGCCAATTGTCTAGAGGAAGCTGTACGGTCCGTCCGCGCCATGCGGACCAGGTGTCTATCATCGCGAGCTGACGTCACATTTCGGGGTCCACTCCCGGATTTCTGAGTTGTCCGACACTCGTCCTTCCTCCACTGCTTCCAAACGCGCATCACTGTGCTGCTGTTACGCTGCACACGAGAGGCTACTGCACGATACGACAATCCATCTTCACGAAGGCCGATGATTCTCCCTCGTTCAAACTCTGTAAGTTGTTCAAATCTCGCTCTCTTTCGTCGACGAGGCATAAGTACAGATTGAGTTAACGTTTACCACTAGCAGATAACCACCGATAACCATACACGCCTCGCTACAGCCATCTATTTATTCGGATCCATCAGCCGTTCAGAGGGCGCTGCTCAGCATACGCATGCGCTACGGATTTGCAATTCTAATCATTTGCATATCATGCGCTACTTTGCATTTCCTGAAAATTTCAGCTCACTCGCGTAAGTCCTTCATGGTGTTGCAATTTTCACAAAAGTGAGTGTATTTAGTTCGCAGCATACATAAGAAAAAAATATGTGCATTAAATTTCGTGATGGTATGTCATCATACTGCTAGAATTAATTTCAAGATTATGCCAGAGAAAATTTCCTGAAATTTAGAAATATTATTTACTAATAATTAATAAATTTAGAGGGAAGAAGCATCATTAAATTATACGAATAACATAAAAATAAAGATAATTACTTAAAAATTGAATTAGAATAATCAACGATATTTTAGCGAATATAGTTATATTACATGGTTAGCCTAGATGACAGATTATACTTTTTATTTTACTGCAAAATGGAGAGGTATTTATTAAAAAGAAAAGTTTAAAAAGATTTTGCGGTAAAATTCTAGTATAACGGTAAGGCTTTGGCACGATTTTGAAAATTGTCGCCAAGACCAAAATGACCCCGCCCTTTTACTGCGCATCATCATGTCGCCAAATCCATACATGGAGATTATTTTAACCAAAAAAACGTCTATGCAAAGAATCTCTAATTCTTTGGTCTATGTAAAGAAGAAAAATTTTCCATACAAGTAAAATGCTATTACGCCGCTAGAATGCGGAGGGAAAATTTGCCAAGGGATTTGGCGACGGAACCTGGCGGCCAGAAGTTCCCTCTCCGCGATGTGTACCTGAAATTGAGAAACGTGTTAAGAAGAAACGTTCTTTGACAAAAAGAAAGCTACGAAAATCCGTTTTTAAATTATTGCGAAAAATCCAAGAAGAAACGTTTTATCAAAGGACGTTTCTTCTTGGATTTTTCCCAATAATTTTAAAAAACGGTTGCGGTGCTGTGCGCTACAATATAGCAAGTGGTAAAGTGTCTCATTTACGCCGCTTTGCATCTGCGAGTGCAATCCAGAGCTGTAACTTGAGAAATAAACAATCTCGTTGTTAGGCGGCGTGTGCACCATGTTATTTTCATTTTTGCGATAAATGCTTATCGACGTGGTGTTCACGTCGCTCGCAGTTTGAGACAAAAACATCTCGAGCGCAAGTGGTTAAAGAAATTTTAAAGGATATTCATTTAATGAACTCTTGACAACGTGACCTTCAAACTTCGACACCGGTTTCCAGCTTTGGCGGCAGATATATCACGCATGCACAGCTGTTTCCCTCTATGATGGAACGGAGCCATGTCTGTTGCAGAGAGGTTTTCCTTCTTTACAATACATATTCTTTGATTCTAACCTCCATGGTACCGTATACTAAGATTAAACCCATTTTGTTTTTATACGAGAAACAGGTACTTTCTTTAGTTCATGCACTGCACATGCGATTCTCGAGAATACTGGAAACCAAAAGTTGCGGGAAACTTGCTTTGCCTTTCTAAAAGGCAATCAAATTGGAGCTGCGAAAATTGGCTCTATGCCAGCAGACACTCACGTGATACGCAATTCGCCAAAAAAGTTATCTCTTCCGACGTCGGCGCAAAAATCGCTTTTTTTGGCGGGATCATTGTATGAACTTCCCTGACTTTTCCAGATTTTGACAAAAATACTTAAATTCCCTGACTTTTCCCTGAATTTTTTGGTCAATTTTTGAATTCCCTGACCTTTCCCGGTTTTCCAGGTAGCGTGGCAACCCTGGCTTGTGTTCAAGAACTCTCTGGGCTAAACCGGTAAGAATTCATTCCAGAAGGTTCTCCATCCGTCCATGGCACATCTCCAATTTTGTCGCCAAATGGGCGATTTATCACCAAATATGGCAAACCTGCCTTCTTTTGCCATTTTATGGCAACCTTAAAACTGCTTTGCGAGGAAGCCATCTTACCGCGCCTGGACATTTTGTAACAATATTTTTAAAACTGAAATGAACAACAAAGCCTAAATTCACCCATTATTAATAATTTAATATAATAAAAAGTTTTATTCTATTCAATTCTCTATTATTTTTCATTATTAAATGTCTCATTAAATATGTAATAGAAATCCAAAATACTCACTTTCAAGTTATTTCCAGTGATGTTATTGTATCTATCTATACTAGACAATATTTCTAGGGCCACATCAGCTCTTCCCTACAGATAAAATAAAGAAAATAAATATAACTTAATACCTTCCCCCTAGAGTGTGTTATTACATATTATAATAATACAGCACAAAGTTACTTGAATTTGATATACTAATTTAATATTTGAAATATACAGGGGTTGGACAAAAATATGGAAACACCTTTAAAAAAACATGTTTCTTTGCTTAATATGGTGTAGGAAACCCACTGGCATCCAAAACAGCTTGCAGTCTTCTCAGAATGGATAAATACAGTTCCTGTATGTTTGCCAAAGGAATATTACACCATTCTTCCTGCAAAACGGTGGCAAGTTCAGATAACGATGTTGGCGGTGGATAACGAGAACGCACTTTCCGTTCCAATGTAGACCACAAATGTTCAATAATATTCAGGTCTGGTGACTGTGGTGGCCAGGGGAGATGGGACAACTCATCCTCGTGCTCAGAAAACCAGTCCTGGACAATGTGAGCTGTGTGAACAGAGGCTTTGTCGTCTTGGAAGACACCATAACCATCGGGGAACAAAGTTTGTACCATGAGATGAACTTGATCGGCCAAAATGTTCACATAAGTTTTGGCAGTCATGTGCCCTGACACAGTTATCATGAAGCTAGCGGAGAACCACGATATGGCTGCCCAATTCACAACAGAACCCCCGTCATGTTTCACTCTTGGCAACAAGCAGTCTGTATTATAGGCTTGAGATGGCGTTCTCCAGACGTAAACTCGGCCAGAAGTGGGAAACAATGTGAAAGAAGACTCGTCAGGCCATATTACTCGCTTCCACTGCTCTATAGTCCAGGCTTTATGACTAAAACACCACCTTTTCCTGTTATGGGCATTAGCATCACTGATGAGTGGCTTCTCAATTGCAGCACGGCCAGCAATTCCCTGTTTCTGAAGCTGCCTTCTAATTGTTTTGGTACTCACAGGGTTCGGTAACACAACATTCATTTCAGCAGTAACTTTTGCAGCTGTGTTCTTCTTATTTTTCGTCACAATTGCCCTTAATGATCGTATGTCACGATCATTCAGGACACACTTTCGTCCGCGCTGTAATTTAGCAGATGATGTCTTTCCGCTTTTCAAATATGCGGAATAAATCTTTGATACAGTACCTCTTGAAACACTAAACACCTCGGCTACTTTGCTTACGGAAGCACCTACCATACATGCTCCAACAATTTGCCCACGTTCGAAGTCTGTTAACTCTGACATAATGCAATGACAACCTCACATAACAGTACTCCGACAACAACTGAGCTGTTTAGCACATTTACAAAGTTGTATAGGTGGCGTCAGTAGTCAAAAACGGCAGCGCCACCTACATATTTCATTAAAATCAATCTTTCTTTTCAAACAAGCATTTCACAAGGAGTTTCCATATTTTTGTCCATCCACTGTATCTCTGTGAAACCAGACATCATAAATATTTAGAAGCAGCATTAGTATCACTGAACATGTCTCCTTTCGTGGTGTGTGTATTTAATTATGGCAAAGCACACTAGGGCTATCTGCCTAAGGGGAGGGATGCCTTCGTGGAGGACTTTCTAAGGGAAAATGGCTCATATACATGTTACACAGTTCACAGAATTTGAACCTCGGACCGAACTACCAGTGTTTAGCGACTTTACCGTTCTTCCGCTGGTGGGCTTATGTCCCCTTTCGCTCTTGACAGGATAGTTCTTCAAATACTTATATTATAAAAATTTGTTTATTCATTCGCAAATGTGTACTTTACATATGTTTATTCATATAATTTTTCTTTCTTGTTTTTACACTTTATTTTAGTTATCTGAATAGCATTTCTTTCAAAAGACTACTTTGTCACCCGGTATTCATCACAATAACTTTGAAAATTGCAATTTGTATTAAAAGAGAAAATACTGTAAAATATGGTTAATACATCTTTCAATGGACTGTTAAAAAAAGATACATAAATGAACATGTACATCTTAATGTATATTTTAATTCAGAATGATATACATACAAACAATTGTCCACAGTTTTTTCACTCTGCCATTGCTTTACACAATTTATCATACTACATGTAGTTTGTTAAAATATTAACCATACTTCTGAATACGTTCAAATTTATCATTTTTTAAACCAAATAGCAGGATATACAAAAAGGACTAAATTTTACGCGAATAAATAAAAATAAATATTTTTTAAACAATTTAAAATTTTCTTCTTAATGGCTTACTGCTTCAAGAATACCTTAATGCCTTTATGATTTTCTTGAAACATTCTTCTGAAACATCCAAAATTATCCTTTTTTTTTTTTTTTTATTTGTTATATACCATACTCCCTTTTGAAACAGCTGATACCCATATACTTTTTTGGATAGTACTCTTGAATCTCCAATAAATTTAGCTAAGACATCTTTGAATTCATCATTTATGATATGATATATATCACATTCAATGACTTAGTTTAAATTTAAACAGTCCTTCAATGAAAAAAGTTTTCCTATATGAGGTTATTTGTTCTTTTTCGCTGTAATAGCTAGACTGTTTGATGCATTGCACTGGGTGAAAAATCTCGGCAAAACATGATTTGAACCTCCAGATATTTCTATTTGAAACACGATTTGTTTGAAGCAGTTTTCTGCAAACTGATGTTCTTTCTTCAAATTTCCTTCTTTTAGAAACATTTGTTTTCAGTGTTGACACAATAGTGTTAAGTTTTTTCGACAGTTGTAATTCTAATTAAATTCTTTTAAAACGTAAGTTGTACCTTTCAGGGACACTGCTTTTCATTTCTAGATATTTTAACTGCAAATTAAGCTTAAAGTAAGACCCGGACGATAGTTTTGTTAAAACAGTACCAAATGATAGAGAAATAAACTGTCTCAAATATTTTTTAACAGAATCTTACATTTATTGTGTCTCACCTATATTCTGATATTAATATCAAAAGCAAATGTTCTAAATCATATAATTTTTACACTTTTTAAGACCGGTAAATGATATATTAAAGAGCATATTTTTTTTAATTATCTGCAATCTAAGGATAAAAGTGCTATTTAAATTATTCTATGTAAGAAGGTTAATATAAAATTTATATTTAATATATTTCTACTAAAGGTTGAGATAAGATTAAAATCAGAGAGCTTTTTAATTAGTTTATTATATTGTCCGATATTTATTTTGAAACTGCGTGCTACAATATAGGTATATTCTGCCTAAGATTTTCGCTTGTATGGGAAAAAGTGAGGAATCAATCTAAATATAGTCAAATTTCAATAAGCCAAAATTAAAAGAACACAGCCTTTAAAAAAAAACAAATATTAAAAAATCGACTTATTAATCAATAACTATTTCAAATAGTTAGTTTCGATATTCACTTTGACCTAACCTCACATTTTTAGTCCTCATAATCATTCCGCCAAAAATTTCGACTAACTGAATTTCAAATAATTAAAGTTTTAGCACATATTCACAGTAAAGTAATTAAGTAATCACAGTATATTAAAAGAATAACACTGTTGGAGAATTTATACTGATGGAACATCCTGTCTTAATACAAATACAACAGGTATAGTTCGACCGCCTCATCCACGAGCATGAGCGCAAGCACGCATGCGCCATTCGGACCAAATAATAATACATAAGCTTCCCGGTAATACTGATTGTTTGAAACATGCAAAAACACCATTTGATGCCTGGAATATTATGATAGACGATGACATGATCAATGAACTGGTAATAATACAAATATATAAATCGATTCAAGATAAATTAGTTCAGGAGAGCCATGCTGCCTCTATAGATGTCCATAATTGTGAAAGTGTTGACGGTGCAGGGTTTTGGGCACGAACTGATTTCTCGATGATGTCCCATAAATGTTCGATGGGATTAATGTCGGGCGATCTAGATGGCCAGATCATTTGCTGGAATTGTCTAGAATGTTCTTCTAACCAATCGCAAACAATTGTGGCCCGGTGACATGGCGCATTGTCATCCATAAAAATCCCATCGTTGTTTGAGTATGTGAAGTCCATGAATGGCTGTAAGTGATCTCCAAGTAGCTGAAGGTATCCATTTCCAGTCAATGATTGGTTCAGTTGCACCAGAGGACCGAGTCCATGCCATGTAAAAACAGCCCAGACCATTATGGAACCACCACCAGCTTGAACAGTGCCTTGTTGACAAATTGGGTCCATGGCTTCATGGGGTCTGCGCCACACTCCAACCCTACCATCAGCTCTTACCAACTGAAATCGTGACTCATCTGACCAAGCCACGGTTTCCATTCGTTTAGGGACCAACCGATATGCTCACGAGCCCACGACAGTACCTGCAGGCGATGTCGTGGCGTCAGTAAAGGCACTCGAGTCGGTCTTTTGCTGGCATAGCCCAAGGAAGACAAATTTCGCCGCACTGTCCTATCGGACACGTCCCTCGTATGTCCCACATTGATTTCTGCGGTTATTTGATGCAGTGTTGCTTGTCTGAGAACATTGACAACTATACGCAGACGTCGCTGGTCTCGGTCGTTAAGTGCAGGTAGTTGGGTACTGCGCTGTCCATGGCGGGATATTATGCCTGAAATTAGATGCTCTCGGAACACTCTTGACACAGTGGATCTCGGAATGTTAAATTCCCTAATGATATCCGAAATGGAATGACCCGTGCGTCTAGCTCCAACTACCATTCCGCGTTCAAAGTCTGTTAATTCCTAACTGTGTGGCTATAATTACACTGAAAACTTTTTACATGAATAACTTGAACACAAATGAAAGTCCCGCCAAAGCACAATTTATACATTTTCTACACGATACTACTGCCATCTGTATATTTGCATATTGCTATCCCATGACTTTTGTCACCTCAGTGTAATAGTAAATAAAAACTTGATATCAGATCAGTTACAACAGTTTTGGAAGCTAGAAAACTTAGGTTTGGAAAGTGATACTCAAAACGACAAATCTGTTGATTTAGAAATGGAAGATAATAGGGATATAGCACTTGAAAGATTTAAGAAATTGAGTAACAAATTTAA